TCTATTTTGTAATCGTCATGCTCAAGAACAAAAGGATAGAGGTCCCCTGGGCGGTGTCGCAGCTTGCGGTAAAGACTTACACCGTCTAAAATCATCATCCGGGGGGGAAATCCCCATGGCTGTATCTGTCAATCCGACGGTTCATTTTAGCCCTGACGAGAGTGGCGACATCGTCCCGCATCCGGCTCACGCCAGATCCGTCGGTCCTCCAGCATTCATGGTCTCCGCCAACGCACATGATCTCTATTGCCCCGTCTCCCGCACGAGTGATCGCGTCGTCCACCAGCTTCATCGCGCTTACTACTAATATTCGGAGGCTTCCAGCAAAAACAAATGGGCCTCTTGTCGCTGTGGTCCAGAGCCGACTCCTATCAATTCGCCGGTTCCAACAATATCATTAAAGTTCCAGAAGATGAAACGGATCGGCGTGTGAGTCCTTTTTATATAGTGATGGTGCTGGGCCAATTTAAAGTTCTTAGCCTCCTCCTTAATTTCTGGGGCCATACACCCACTCATGACCTTCTGCGAGCTGCCGTGCACATGTTCCCGCAGATGGTACTCAGGGAGAAGACCGGGCTTCTTTTTCTTGGACGACCCCCGAAACGAGATCGTGGAATCCGAAACAATGTGGACTGAATAAGACCAATATTTGTATGCCCCACTTTCCACCACGCACAAAGGATGGAACACATATGTCACTGGCTTGCCCGTGCCCATCATGGCCGCAATGTCCTCGCCAACAAATGGAATCCATGAGTGTCCACTCACTCGGGCAATCTGCGTGATGGCCTGGCACTTTCGAAGAAACGTTAACTTAAGTGTCCAGTTTGCCATCTGAGGGTCTATGATATCAGCATAAAGCTGAATAATCGCATCCATTGAGGGGCCCCAGGCTACGATAAGCCAAGTTTCCCGAAAAACCCTGAAAGGCCCCCCAACAAATAATTACATAAAACACGAAAAATACAAACATATATTTACAAGAAATACCAAAATTACCAGCACCACACCTCGTAACATGAGGCAGGGCAACGCACCACCATGACATCACAACGTCCAATATACTGAAAACTGCCTCCCTGCGAAGCAACGAAACTCCCGTAAGAGCATCGAGCTCACTCGCGAGCAACGGCTACGGACATAGGGTGGTGGGTAATGTGTGAAGTAAGGTGGGGGAGGGATGGCGGCGACGGCGACGAGCAGGGGGGGGTGGAGGGGCAGGCGGGGGGGCTGAAGGGCAGGGGGTGGGGGCACGAGGGAGGGGGGGGGGGAGAGGGGAGGGAGAGTGGGGAGGGGGAGGGGGAAGTGAGAGCAGGTGGGTGGGGGGGGGAGGGGGGCGACATGTGAGAGGGCGGGGGCTGGACGACCATGGCAGCAGGAATCCAGGCGTGCGTTTCTCTGCACCCTGCGCAGGCCAGCCGCGAGACCCAAGCGTGCCATCCTTGCGCAGGCGGTCGAAACGCTAGACCGACGGCGCTGCCCACACGCGCCGCGATAAGAGAGAAAAAGAGACCTGCCCGACTTGAAGATGGGAAGTCGAATGGGTCGAGGGTGGATGGGGGCGGGGGGGTGGAGGGTGGGATGATGATGAGGAGGAAGCGGAGGAGGAAGAGGGAGGTGAGGAGGAGGGAGAGGAGGAGGGCGCGGCCTCCCCCTCCTCCGCACCCTCCTCGTCCGCATCCGCCTCCGACTCTTCCCACTTCGGATCCTCCTCATGCTGCACTTCCTGCTCATCCCGATCCTCCTGAGGCTGCTGCTCCTCCTTCTCCTCCCTCCCCTCCTCCTCCTCCTGGCCCTCCTGACCCTCCTCCTGGCCCTCCTGGCCCTCCTGGCCCTGGAGCGAGACTGCCGCGCAGCCGCCGGGCCGCCAGCTCAGGCCCCAGGCGGCGCTGCGGCGGCAGGCGCCGCGGCGGCAGGCGCTGCGGCGGCAGGCGCAGCGAAGGCTGCCGGGGCCTGCTCGTCGGGCCCGACCTCAAGCACCAGGCCACCTCCCTCCAGGGCTGCGACCACGGGGCCAGGCATCTCGGACCACACGCCCTTCCCCTGGAGCTCGCGCTTCAAGGAATCCGCGGCGGCCTCGAGGGGTCGGGCTCCTCCACCCTCCGCCTCCACCCTGGCCAGTTCCACCTCCACCCCTACCTCCGCCTCCACCCACGTCCCCGTTTCCACCTCAACCTCCGCCTACACCGCCCTGGACCATCCTCACCACCTCCACCACCCCCCTCACCACCTCCCCCATCCACCTCCAGCTCGTCTTCCCATCACCACCCGCATCACGCTCACCGCCCCGTCAACCTTCACCTCCTTCTCCTCGTACCCCCTCCTGGCCCTCGTCCTCCATCCTCCCTCAGTCTCCTTGTCTTTCCTCTATCTGATATGTGTTGGTGTCTCTCCTTCATCGTCATCCTCCCTCAGTCTCCTTGTCTTTCCTCAGTCTCCATCCTCCCTCCGTCTCCTTGTCTTTCCTCTATCAACGGTCGCATCTCCTTCATCGTCATCGTCGTCGTGCTCGTGACCCCCAATGGCCTTGAGCTTCTTAGGCCCTTTGAGGGTCGGGAAAGCGTACTTCATCGAGAAGATAACGAAGGTGAGGGAGATCGTGATCATGCCATCGTGGGTCTGCGATTCCCACTTCGAGAGCCGATCCTTCTCGAAAATGCCCTGGTGCTTCCGCGCCAATTTCAGGCGGCCGTCCATGTCGGTGATCAACGAACCCAGATCCTTGAGCTTCTTGTTCGCGACCAGCTCCTTCGCCATTGGATGGGGCGGCGATTGGAGGAGCTGGTCGCAAACAGGCCGCCAATTCGGCTGCCACTGCTCGATGTTGGCGAACGCCACGTCGAACCCCGTCAGCCAGCGCTGCTTGCACTCGCTCAAGGAGGTGTCCAAGGCGACCAGGCTGTCCCTGACCAGGCGAGCGACAGGGAGTCCGTTGAAGATGCCGATGTGCGTTTCGCTGGCCGATGCGAAGCACGTGTCCAGGTTCTGGACAAACGATGGCCCCCTGAAGTCCTGACCGCAGCAGGAATGCGGCTGACAGAGGGGGGTGGCGGCGGAGGAGGAGGTGGAGTGGATTATGGTAATTCTGAGGAGGGGGAAGAGGATTAGGAGGAGGAGGAGGGGGAGGCGCAGGAGAGAGGAGGAGGAGGAGGACGAGGAGGAGGAGGAGGACAAGGAGGAGGAGGAGGAGGAGGAGGAGGAGGAGGAGGAGGATAGAGGAGGAGGATAGAGGAGGGGGACGAGAAGCAGAAGGAGGATCGTGATGAGCCCCCTGGGCCCTCCCCGTGGTGGTGGGGGGGGGGCACAGTGAGGCTGCCCCATGTTCCCGCCTCCCTCCTCCTTCTCCTCCTCAGCCGCCTCCTCCTCCTCACCAACCCCCTCCGCCTGCTCCTCCCCCGAGCCATCATGCGCCCCCTCACCATCAACGTCATCATCATCCTCATCATCATCATCATCATCACCATCACTCTCATCATCATCACCATCATCATCATCATCATCATCATCGCCGGCGTCTGATCGTGCCCGGGTCCTGGTCGGCAAACTGCATGCCACTCGTGCCCTCGAACGTCCTGAAGATGCTCTTCACGGCGTTGTTCAAGTTGCCGAGCGCCTCGTTGGCGGCCAACCACGCCTTCGCGCTGTCACCGTCAAAGTCCAGCTCGCACGTTACCAAGGGGCTCCCGCACAACCACACCATGCCGACGTTCGCAAGCAGGCCAACCTACCACCGAAGGATGTTGTCCGAGTAGCGGCAGGCCTCGGTGGCTTCCTCGAACGCCTTCTGCGCATCTTGGGTCAAGGTGACCACGTAGCGTGATCCCAATACAAGCTTGCACTCGCCGATGATGTCGTTCGGCGACGAAATAGCATCGGCCCACTGCTGCGTCCAAAAATCGCCGTCCCCGTAGTTCCCGAAGATGGAGCCAGTCACGAGCCGCACGAAGACCTCCAGTCGACCAGCCAATCGCGACGCCAACATGTCCGTGATCTCCTCTTACTCGGGGCTCGCGTGGAACTTCTCGAGAACTGTCTGCATGGCATCCGCTACTGGATGACCGTCCCAGAACGGCTTCAAGTAATCATCGATCTGTCGCTGCGTGTCCGCCATGTACTCTGGCACCTTAGCAATAGGAGCTCCAGACTCCTTCCGTTCGGAAAACAACCTGACCGTGTCTGCAGAGGCCTTAAGGAGCTTCAGCGTATCCGAGTACCCCTCTGTATCCACGCCAGCAAGGTGCTCAGTCAGCTTCGGCACCGCGCCCACAGCATGGATCAGCTCGTCGACCAGCCCGACCCCGCCCGCCCAGTCGGCGCTAGTCCACTTTGCCTCCTCAAGCGGACGGTCCAGCCAGCCAACCAGGTCGTCCAAGAGCTCCTGACGCTGCATACGAAGGGTGCATATCAATGCTCTCTCTCTCTCTCTCTCTCTCTCTCGCTCCCTCCAACCCTCTCCCAAGGTTTGATATACCTCTCTCTCTTGTCGTCGCTTGCTCTCGCTCTCCCTATGTCTCTCTGTCTCTCGCTCTCGATCGCTCGCTTGCTCGCGCTCTCTCTCGTTCTCTCTCTCTCTCTCGCTCGCTCGCTCTCGAACTCACTCTAGCTCTCGCGCTCGCTCACTCTCTCTCTCTCTCTCTCTCTCTCTCTCTCTTTCTCGTCGTCTCTCCCGCTTCTCTCTCGCTCTCACTCTCTCTCTCGCTCTCCGTCTTGACCTCGCGTGCGCTCGGTCTTCCTCTCCCTCTCTGTCCGTATCCCCCTCTCTCGCTCTCCCTCTCTCTCTCTCTCTCCGTCTACCTCTCTCTCTCTCTCTCTCTCTCTCTCTCTCTCTCTCTCTCTCTTCCTCTCTCGCTCCCTCCCCCTTGTCCCTCGGCTCTGCCAGAGTCACGCAACGGTCGCCATCTATCGCCAAATCATCCTGCCCGCCCGCGGGGTCACAGGGGAAGTGGGCGCCGAATGAGAGGGAAAGAGGAGGCGGCTCGCTCCTTGCACCCGGCCAAGACCAAGTCACACGCTGTCACGCAGTAGTCGAACAACGCCACGTCGACTTTGTCGGCGCTGATGTACCTCGCGGCCAGCGGAGAGGCGTCTTGCATGGCGCCCGCGAGCCCAGCCAAGTGGCTCTTGGTGCTGGCAACGCGATCGCGCCAGACCATGGTCGCCGCGTCTTGCTCTGCACACTGAGTAGCACGCTGGAGCAGAGCCGTGGCCTTCTTCGACAAGTCGATGCCCGCAGAGAAGCCAGCACCAGCGGTCTCAGCATCGCGTAGAAGCCGCTTGGCGTTAGGCCAGAGAACCAAAGATCCAGACATGGGCCAGCGGTTCTTCATTATGCCCTCCACGGACTCGCTGGCGGCCTCGAGCTCAACAATGGACGGCACCGCGTCATTCTTGAGCAAGTCCAGCGAAGCTTTCAAGGCGCCCATGTCAGTCTTCACCTCTGCGCTGGCCCAGTGTGGTACCGACGACGCCAGTCGAGAGAGATCCCGATGTAAAAATTGTACATCGCCTTGCGCCAACATGCTGATCTTCATCTTAATCATCTCCAAGCGCATTGCAGCCTGCGCTGCCTCTGTGGGGAAGCCTGCCTCTGAGAGCTGCGACTGTTCCAATAGCCCCCACATGCCTTCGTCTGGGTCAGACGCCTCGCGAGAATCCTACTCAGGAGGCCGCCTGTGTCAATCCCCCGCCCGACTGCGCAACGCCGCGACCCGCTGCCCTGCGGGGGTGGGATGCCAGCGGGGAGGCGGGGGCAGTCAGGCGGGATTAATTTCACAGGGGGGCCACCCAAGTCGCATTCCCTATCAGGCCTCAACCCGCTTCGCGATGTATTCCTGGAGCATCCAGTGCGGGAAAGGAACCGCGGCCGCTGGAGGCGTTGCCAAAAATGTGAGACTCATGCTGTAAATCCGCGCGAACTCCTTATCGAACTGCCCATTTTTAGCCCAGGCCTTCGAGATGGACACCGCTTCCTGCCCCTGCTTGCGGAGCGCCTGCATCTCGTCGGTGTCCTCGTAGAGCTCGGGCGGTGGACCCCCTGCCTCGATGCACTTATCGGCCTCCTCTTTCATGGCATGGGCGGGCATCACGAGGGCGCTGAAATTTGCGACAGCTCCCTCCAGCTGCCTCCTGAAGTTCTGAGTGGTGAAATACTTCTCGTCCTGGTTCGACTCGCGGAATTCCTTCAAATGGTCCAGCAAGGTCTGGCGGCGATTCCCGCGCGGGCGCCCAGGGGCACGGCGAGCTTGACCTTCGGCCCCCGAGTCGCTGTGCTCTCCGGAGCCGCTGGTCGACTTCATGCGGCGCTTGGCCTTGGCCTTGGCCTTCGCCTCCCCCTTCGCAGCGGGGGCCTCTTCAGAACCACCCTGCCCAGCGGCAGCCGCAGGCACCATCATCGGGATGAACGCCGCCTGGAAGCCCGCGAAGATGGGGGCCTGGCCGGGGGCGCCGAAACCAGGACAAGGTACGGGCGCAGCTGGCTGACCTGGCGCGGCTGCCGCGGGAGGCGGGGCAGCGGCCCTAGCAAAAATGCCTGGGGCCTCCTCGCCCGAGGCCCTCGAATACGCACTCGAAAGGCTCTGCACGAGCCCCTGAAACCCACGCTCGAGCTGGCCCTCAAAGATTGCTGTCTCGCTGCTGTGGTGGATCCTGCGCCTAGCAACGCCGTGGGTCTCCACTGCCGCCTCTGTCCATTCACGTTTCCCTGGGGCGCGAACGCACTGCAGGCCTTCATGCATCACCACCTGGTGACCTTTCCCGTTTGAGTACGGGTCTCCGTAATCGCTAATGTAGTCGTCCAGCGCAACGATGCGAGTTGGTGCACGCTTAATCTGCACCTCCCGCTTCTGGTAAGACGTAACTCGTTCTTGGACCTCTGGCCACGCAACTCTGACGCCCCTGGTGCCCCGGGCATCGATGAAGTACTGCACTGCCTCGTTTCGCCTCGTGTAAAATTCCTCGCACACCTCGCGATTCTGGCCGATCACATTGAGCAGGAGCGGGCACGTGGCTGTGCTGGGCTGGTCTGCGTAGAAGCCTGAGGGGCGATAATTCGCAAGCTGCATCGTTGCATCGAACGGCCTACTACATCTCGTCAAACATCAATCATAAAATGCGCCGCCTGATGCATCGATCGTTCTCCTTCAGCATCATGCATCATCTTGCATCACTGCAGCAATGCATCGATCGGTCCACTCCTCATCGTCAGACATCGATCATGAAATGCGCCGCCTCATCATCATTCATCGAACGTCCTCCTGCGGAAATTCGAAACTACATCTGGGGTTCAGCTCGGCCGACCCAACCCTCCGACTGGCGCCCAACCTCGAGACTCAAGCATTCCTCTGAGCAGGAGCGGCCAAGCCCTCCAAGGGCGTCGGCCCCGTCACCCATCCCTCCCTCCCTCCCAACTCATCCCTATGGTTGGAGCAGCCTGCGTGGACACGGACGCAGTAGAAGCAGAAGTTGCCCCTGTTCTTTAACGTGAGGGGCTTGATTCCCCAGTGCAGACATTCCTCCTCGAAGACGTGATCCAATTCTGTGTCAGAACGGGCGCGCAATCCGCAAACTCGCCCGTCTGGGAGGACATCCACCTTCACGCCGTTCTCGAAGGTTACCGGAACCACGACCTTGCCTGGGTTGTTGGCACCCCAATGCCCGAACCTGGCGCGGGTAGCGTCACCGCGGCCATACTGCAAAGCTGAGGTCCCGGAGGGCTCGGCAGCGTCGCTCATCAGGGCCGCTGCACACCGACCCTCGCTGGGCCAGCCCGATGGGGGAGGGGGGCCGACCCGCGCCAGCGGCTCGAGCAGATGAGCTGCCAATCACCCCCGCTCCGACGTGAACATCATCAAGGTCGCTGGGACATGGCCCTGCAGGATGCAAGACGCTCGGGCATGTTCGTGCTCTCTCCTCTCGCTGCGGATGCTCGAGTAGCCTTGAGACGGGCGTCCGTTTCTTACCTGTCGGTTTAAGCGCGGTGTGGCTCATGTAGGGCAGGGACAGTGCGACCCGTTCGCTAGACGGCGACCCCATCTCTCTACTGGATAGCGAGTCGATCATTCGATCCGATGGCCAGAAGGTCAACGGGATGGGGAGGGGCACGTCGGGGAGGGGGGGTCGGGGTGGTCAACTATCGAGTGATGCTGGGGCGGCGAGCTCCAGGCGGGAGGGTGGCCGAAGAATACTGTGCGGAACATGGGTCTGACGGTTAGAGGCGGACGCAAAACGTCTTCCGATTTTCGCCTATCCTAAAACAGCGCCACCATCGCAACCGTCTCCAGGCAAACCCACGCGTGAAACGGGTCGATGCCCGCCTCGCTGGAGAGGCGGGGCGGCATCTCAGGCCCACTGAGCAAAGCTCAGTGAAACGCCATGGCAGCTGGTGCCGCCTGGCTCACCGACGCCCGATGCTGGAACTTAAAAAGAACCGCTGGCCTTTGCATGATTCCTCCTCGTCTTCGACGTCCTCCTCCTCCGTGGCCGCCTTTCCGCCTCGTCCTCCTCGCCCTCCTTGTCCTCCCCCTCCGTAACCTCCTGCCGTCGTCGCCGCATGATGCATCTGAGCCCCCTCCACGCCTGTCATCGTCCCTCGTCCTGCTAGTTCCTCCCTACCTCCTATCTGTCGCGATTCGAGGCGGGCCCTTACCTGAGCCGCCCGAATCCTGCGATCGCTGCAAGGGCAACAGCGGCGAACGGAAAGCCTGAGTAGGCATTTCCCACCAGCAACCGTGCCGTGCAATCATCGAGCGACTCGTCCGCCCCGAAAAAGCCGATGAGCCGCAGGAGCAGCTCGCCTGTCACCAGCCTGGCGCGGCAGACTCTTCTCGGGAGGGGCCCTCTACTCACCGCGTCGCCATCCTGCCCCACGCTCACCTGCCCACATCCTCACCCCCCTCGCATCAGCCTCATCGCCCCAACGCCCATTCACCGCATCATCGTCGTCACCCCTAGCACCCCCAGGGGTGCCTCCAGTGCTTCTGCCCGTCCTCTGTCATCACGCGGAGCATCAGGACGCTCTTCGTGGTGAGCGTGGGCATGTAGTCGCGGAAGATGGCCCCTGAGCTGTCGGCCCCCAAAGCGAACCTGAGGCTCAAGTTGATGTCGGCCCACTGCATGGGCCCAGGAGCGGAGGGCCAGGGGTCGCATTCCTCACCGCGCACTGCAACCTGGGACAGGGATCGAAGACTGCACGAGGTCAGCAGGAGGAGGGGGGAAGGAGAAGGAGAAGGCGAAGGAGCAGGAGCAGGAGACGGTGAAGGAGAAGGATAAGGGCAAGGAGAAGGAGAAGGGGAAGGCGAGGGGGGGCGGAGGTGGATGGGGGAAGGAGAAGGGTGCTGGACAAAGGCCCACAGGCTGGGAGGAGGCCAACTGACTTTACGACTCCGATCGTCGATCATCGTGGACTGCCCGGCGCCACGTCCTCCTCCTCCGCCACCTCCCTCTCGCCTCGCCCCCCTCCTCCGTCCCGTCCCTCCTCCCCGCCGTCTCCCTCATCTCTCCTCCCACCTCCGCCGCCCTCCTGCGCCCGCGCCCCCTCTCCGTCCCCCCCCCCTCCTCCGTCCTCCACCTCCTGGCTTGCATTGCCCCGCGAAGGGCCTCGATCTGCGCGTGGGTGAGGTGGGCAATCACCGTCTGGAACTCTGGGTCGCAGGCCGTCAGGTTTGGCGGGTAGTCCAAGCCCGCGCTGCGATAGTACGCCATATGCACGTCGCTGTTCCCCTTGGGCCGCTTGGCCCTGGGCGGCGAGCGGCCCTCGTGAGTCGGAATGTCCTTCCAGTTGAAAAAAGCTTCGATTGGAAGTTCGGGCAATTTCATCGAGGGGACCATGGCCGCGACGACAGAGATGCCCGCATGGTGCGCGTCGTCCAGAATCCCCACCAAAGCCATCCGTATGCGTTTCACAGGCGACCCATACTCCTGCGCGCTGACGCGCATGGCCTCAGTTCGCTGGGGACTGGAGGTCGGAGCAGCACGCAGAGAGAGGGAGGAGACAAGGGAGGGGGATACCAAGGAGAGGGAGGGGCAGGGGCAGGAGGGAAGGAAGGCGAGGGCGCGGAGGGAAGAGGGCGAGTGGTCGATCTCGAGGGAAGCCAGACCAGGTGACACCGCAGGGGGGGGCGGGCGAGGTCGAGTCGAGGTCAAGGTGGCTAACCAAATCTACATGCACCCCCGGCGCCCTTTCGCGAATCAAAAAAAACCATCGGCCCCCCTCGAACCACATCGGAAACGCTCGCATCAGATCCGACAAGACCAGACCGAGCCCACGGCCCGCGACGAATATCCGCAGGTCTGCAGGAAGGCGCATATCGCCACGCTGTCGGCGCACACGCCAGGCTCCACCTCGTTCATAAGGGCGGTAAGGTTTTCGACAATTACTATGGCTGGCCGCGCCTTCTGGATGTAGTCGGCGGTATATCGCCAAGCCTCGCCCGTGGCCCCTTCCCCAGTCTGCACAGGAGAGAGCCGCTTACCCCTCGTCGCAGAGTTGAGGTTACTCTTGGTGGTGCACGTGAACCCGGCAGCAAAGATACCAACCGTAGGTACAACGATGCGCTTGCCAGTCTTGACGTCGAGTGCGCGCGGCGGCGGCCGCTGGGGCTGGGCGGGAGAGGAGGAACGAGGGAGGAGAGCGGGTCATAAGCAGGGGGGCATGGGGGGGGCGCCCTTCAAGGCGCGGTCGAAAGACCTCCAAACTCGAACAACGCACCCGCTCTTCACAGGCACAGGCTTCATCGACTACATAGGCACAAAAGGGAAAAGCGTAAATTGGAATGACAAACGGGGCCGCATCCTCCTCCGTCTCCACCTCCTGCACCTCATCGGCATCCACGTTCACCTACACCTGCATCTCATCTCCACCTCCCGCCGCATCCTCCACCGCCTCCACTGAACTCCTCACGAACGTCGGGCCGAGGGCCAGACTCTTTCATGTCGCCAAACAAGTGGAGCACCTCTGGGAACTCCCGCTGGAGAAAGCTCTGCTGCAACACCCCTTTCTCGCACCGGAAGATAAACTGGAAGGTAAAGTCCCTGTCAAAGCGCTGCCGCCACTCTTCCTCAAACGCCAAGAAGATCTTAGCGATCACGTCGCTCCCGCTGAAGCCTCGCGGGGGCGGCCGCGGGGGCGGGGGTGCGCTGCGGCCGAGGACGGCGACGTAGCAGAGCACGGAGGAGGGCCGCATGGTGAGGGGAGAGCAACTGGACGAGAACGACAACAAGACGACGGACGCGGCGGAGGTCCAGGACGATACGACGAGACGGAGGGGAAGGCAACGACAGGTGAGCGACGAACGACGAGCTCGGAGGGCGTGACGCCCCCACCGCCTCATCCTTCCCCTCCCCCAACCGCGGCTGGGCCTGTGCCAGCGCGAAGCCCGCCAGAGGCTACTCCAGCAAGAAGGCTCGGCATGTGATGATGATGATGATGATCATGATGACGCGCCTTGAAAGGTCGGTTCTCCCAAAACACAAACCTGAGAAGCCACCAATACGCCAACTGCGTACGGTAGAGAAAGAGGGAAGGCGGGCAAGAAGCTGGAGAGGAAGTAGCAGAACAAAGATGAATCCCAGCCCAGGATTGAAACCCGAGATACTAAACGACATCATGAATGGAGACTGCCTGTCCGATACTGAAAGAAATCATGATTGAAACCCATGATACCGAAAGAAATCGTGAATGATTGAAACCCATCCTAAATTGAACCCATGATACTGAATGAATGAAATCCACCACCAGGACCCTCTCGCTTTGAATAAAGGTGCGAGCAATGAGAAACGTAATGCAAGGTGATGGGTTATGCTTAAATTGATCAAAATATCTTGAGTGGCTTGAGTAACTCGAGTAACTTGAATAACTCTTGACGCCGAACTTGGGGGCATATGTTCCCACGGCCAGAAGTGATTAAGAAGTGAAGAGAACTTTCTTTGAGTCCCTTGAAGCCCAATATACATAAGTGTCAACCCATTCGAATAAATGTGGTGAAAGAAAGAAAGCCTGACATAAACTGAATGTCTCAAGCACGC